TTTGGGCAGCTGCTCTGAGCTTCTCCTGTAGCTGAAGGCAGGCAGGCATTCAGGCACTGGGTGCGGTGCCATCAGTCCGGGGCACTTACTGCACATTTTTCACTTAAAATCAGCTACCTGCTCTTCTCATGGCTATCAACATCCTTGGCCCAACTTCTGGGCTGTGATCACCTTCCCTTGCAGCAGCAGGTAGTTAGCCCTTTGGGATGTGATTTGTTTGGGCATCATGTGCCTCCTACCTTGGAGTGCAGGGAGTCAGGGGACTCCAGGAGCAGCAGCAGCTCAGAGTTGTCTATCTCCAGCAGCATCCCAGTGATCTTGCCAGCCAGCGAGGGATGCATCACATGGATCAGAGGGTAGAGGCGCTCACCTGCTCCAGACACCAGGAAAGACATCAGCAGTATGCAAGACCTCCAGCGTTTGTCAAACCCAGTGCAAACCCTCCTGCCCTCCCAGCTCTGTCCTTCCAACTGAAAGGGGATGGTGGTGGAGAAAAACAAAAGAAACCAAAAACACAAAAAAGAAATCATCGCTGCTCACAAGCAAAGCTACTCCAGCATGTCACAGCAACAGTGTTTGCAGGCAAAATGCGCCCAAACCCCCTGCGGCACCCCATACAACTGGGAGAATTAGCCCTACCTCTTTACCAGGAAGGAAAGCCGTACAAAGAAACAGGTGTGGATGAGGAAAGCCACCTGTGGCCAGGGACAATGCTAATTGCCCTCCTCCTGCCGTCCCATCCACCAATACATGGATTATTTCACTGCCAGATTCCCCACCACAGTTTTGCCAGGGTGCCTCAGCCCTGTGCACATGCCTCCCTCTTCCCTCTTCAAATTACTCAGCTCCCAGCCCTCTTTTCGGCAGAGCTGACCCTAAACCCTACAGTCACCAAGCTGTTCATCAGTGCCCGAGGGCAGTGATACGGGATGGCTCAGAGTTCAGGGGAATCGCAGATGTCCTGGTGCAGCCCGGGCAGGATGGAACCCTGCCTCTCCTGCAGAGCTTCGCCAGATGCTGTCTCACTGCCCGGCAGCTACTACAGCCAGCGGCTTCCAATCCCTTCCAACCCAGCCCAGATTTTTTTTTTTTTTTTTTTTTTTTTTTTTAAAAGCAGCATATCAGAGCAATGCCACAAAGACTTACAGCTTCTCGTAGCAGCTAAAGTTTTCCCTGGTGCACGCAAGTCCACATACATGCACAGCCCCACGGCTGGACCTACTCTGGCAGAGCAGCCCTGACACCCACCTATCATTTGCTTCTGCTCCTGAGGAGGGGCTGCTGCAAGCATGGATGCCGTCAGCGGCTCCTGCCCCTGGACATGCACAGCAGGTTCTCCCACCTGGGGAAAAAACAAAGAGCAGCAATCAGAAACGCTGGAAGCGATGCAGGAGTTACCTGGCTGGCAGGAACGGTGCTTGTCCCTAAACCCAGCGGGGCATTTCACCCTTCCAATGCAGACTCTGACACTGCCTCCTTGTATCCAAATGCCAACTTCCAGGAAAGCCAGACCTGGGCATCACAGCTACTGGATCTGTAGCCCCAGTTATCCCAGTGGCCGCTGGGAAACGTTCCCATAGCACCAGTCAGAAACAGAGCCATGGGGCTGCCTGGGGTCAGCAGCCACATTAACCCAGAGCAGGACCAGGACTGATGCACGTTGCGGTAGCTGCGCTGAAGCCGGGAGCTCACAGAGCTGTTACCTGCGGAGCCACCACGGGCGGCACGTGCCCCATCGGCTGGACGTTCCTGACGGCAGAGGAGTACTTGTACTGCGGGGCACCCCGCGGCAGGGTGGGCGAGGAGGGCACCCGAGCGCTGACCGTCTGCGTCCCGATGTTGGCTGCAACAGGGATGGGAATGTTTGTAAGGAGGAGCCCATTAAATGCATGCCTGCACCAGGGAAGCTGAAGCTAGAAGGGCAGCGTGCTGAACCAGAGGGCCTGAAGGATCCTCCCACGGGCTGAAAGCAGCCCTTGGGTCAAAGGCAGCTTCCCTGGGACAGGCAGGGCACTGCCATCCTGCCTGCTGTTCTGGTCTGATTCTGTGCAGAGGGCAGGAGAGGTGGCAAAGGCACCTACGCCTTGTTGAATCTCCTCCAGAAACATCCGTCCGCATCAGTAGGTGGAGGACAGGCACAGCACCGAGGAGGGTGAGCTGCAAGAGCAAGTGCTCCTGGCTCACGCTGGGTCCTCTCCTGCAGGGAGGCGAGGGCAGGGGAATAAGGGAACAAGGACAAAAGGAGAGGGGACGAGCCAAAGCCAGCCCTCCCAATCCCTCTGCTCACTTCAGCAATAAGACAATGCCAAAGACCACCTTGGGCTAAATCACACCAAGCCAAGAGGGTTGTAGGTAGATGCTGCCCCGCCAGATGGTCCCACATTTTGGGGGACCTCAGACCTTCACCCTCTCACCAGCTTCCACCCTGGGCTACTTCTGTCTTTCCTCAAATCCTGCCCTTGGAGGAGCCTCAGAGGGGGCTACGGAGCCCTGGTGAGCATCCTCCTCACTCACACTAACACAAAGGACAGAGTTGATGGGATGAACAGAGAGCTGAAGCACTCTCCGTGTGAGCAGTGCTCGGGGCACCGCGCGCAGGACAGCAGCTCGGCCACCAGCCCTGCAGTAGCACAGCCACGTTGTGCTGGCAAGGTGGAGGGGACACGCTGGGACACAGGGACAGCCCCAGCACGGTGAGGCCTTGGGGATGGCAGCATGGTCCGGTTCTCAGGCCATAGCTCCAAGCATCTCTACCATGAGCGTATTTTACCGGAGGCTTAGCTTTCGCAGCGGTTCATCTAGAGCGGGTGAGAACCTCTGCTACTGCCCAAAAGGCCCTTTCCCAAACTCCACCTCAGTCTGAGCACTAAGTCTAAGGTGCCATGGCTGCATCATCATCATCTTTAATGAACGTATGCAAGAACAGTGGCCAACAAAACCAATGTGCGTATCAGAGACCTGTCCCATTACCTGAAAGACCACATCCCTCCCCAGAAGTTACACACTTATTTACTACAGACACTGCTCCAGTCCCATCACATCCGAGGGCACCATCCGGGCTCCTCCACCAGCAATCCCACAGACTGATCCATCTTCAGAGGCAGACCCAAGCTTGCAGCAAGCACCCTCGCCCACGCACAGCCGCTACGGCAATATCCAAGCCGGGTCCGTCCCCCACTCACCCACTCTCTGTGCCTGGGGGGGCACACGGGGCACCTGGGTGGAAGCCTGTCTCATGGTGCTGATGTTGGACAGCAGGCGCCGAGGCGGCGCGGCAGCCCTCAGGATGGGGGTAGCTGCAGGATATGCTGCTGTAGAGATGGAGTGTGATTAATAAAGCTTCTTGGTAGCAAGGCATGGAAGGAGATGTGGTGGGGAGAGACTGTGGCTGGGGAAAGCTTGGGAGCACCTCACCTCTGGGGTCAACCCCAACATCTCAACTCCCAGTGCCCATCACTGTGACCCCTGCACCAAACCCCCGTGCACCTCTCCAGGCAACAGCCCCCCGTGGTTACACGCTTTGTGCTGCCTCTAGAGACCCTCAGTCCCTAACGGAGCCCAGCTCGTGCAGAGATCCCCCGGGCAGAGACAGGCTGACTCACGGGGAGGCCGGGAGGGCTGCGCACTCCAGCGAGTGGCAGGACGGACTGGGACAACTGGGCTGGGGCTGTAGAAGGTAGCTCTGGTTTGTGGCTGGAAAGGAGAACACGTTATCCATGGTGACTTGGGAGCCAAGCCAGATCTAACGCAGAGCATCTCAGCGGCCATCATGCCCAGACAGCAGAGCCAAAGCCACGCTCTGCAACGTGCCAAAGCATTTTAAAGATTGACCTCCTGTCCTGCTGCCTGCGTGTCCTCCAGCAGCTCCACTTATCTACTCCCCATGAGCTTTTGCACCTCTGTAACCCTTCTCTCTCCCCCTGTTTCATCAGGGGACCTGTTCTCCATGCTCCCACCAAACTCCTCCTTGGTTCCTTCCTCTGAGGGGCAGTCGATAGCTACTAAACGCACAGCCCACTGCCTGGAGCACCCACACCCCACCAGCGTTTTGGCAAGCCCTGCCGCTTATGCGGAAGCTCAGGGCTGATCCCACCAGTCCCATGGCAGCGTGCACCCACGTCTGCACAAACCAAGACATTCCCCTCGGTCCGAATGCCACCCACCTCCTCCAGCCCAGGGCAAATTCAGGTCCCTGCACGAGGCTGCCATTCCGGAGCAGGGACTCACCTGGGGGATGGGGGGTAGGAAGTACCCCGGGGGGGGATGGAAGGAGCCCAGGAGAGGGCCAGGCAGTGCCCTCATGGTGGCTAATCTTTGCATGTACTGGTTGGTGAGGATTGCTTTCCGCTCCTCTTTCCTTTGAGCGAGAGCGACGTAGAGAGGCTTAGTGCTGACGATCCGCCCGTTCATTTCTGTCACGGCCTTGGTAGCCTCTTCTGGGGAGGAAAAACATACAAACCCAAACCCTTTGCTGTGGCCACCCTCTGTCATCACCTAAAATTGGATTAGAACAAGACAGCTAAGTCCACAGATCACCGCAGCACCCGCGAAGCATAGCATGGGGCGGGAGGGGCACGCGGGACCCGCAGGCACCCCATGGCAGCCCCCACACCCCAGCTGGGATGGATGGAGCTGCATCCATGGGGCTCCACAGAGGGGTTTCTCTGAGGAACGGAAGGATTTGCTTGGGCACAACCAGTCGGTTTGGGAAATGAGGATGGCAGGGTCTGGGCAAGCCCAAGATCCACAGCCTGCGATCTTCCAGGGGGTCTGTGCCCCAGCCCCACAGGACCCACGGGCCAGCAATGCTCCGGTGCTTAATGCCGCAGGAGCCAGCGAGGGATGGGGATCAGTGGGACACCGTGCACTGCCTGAGGGCCAGGCAGCATCTGTCCCCAGCAGCTGGCAGGTTCCTGGTACCTGACCTTAAAGCCAGACCATCCCTCTGCACCCATACATACAGCCTTCAAGAGAAGCTTGACACAAGTTTTGGTGGCTAGACTGACATTTTCATGGTTTTCCAAAAGGCAAAAGCCAGTCTGTCAGTCAGGCAAACCCCGAGCAAGGTGGCTTGTGGGTCATTTCCATTTGCATCGGTGTCACATTGGTCCAGAACCGCAGAGTGGCTGTGCAATATTCAGAATGATGTGGCTTTAAGGTCCCATCCCCTGCACCTCACCAGGGCTGGGTAACTCGGCAAAGCTACAAAATTTTTATTGCATCAATAAGCTCCTGAGGACAGCACGGGGTACAAGTGGCACGTCCTTCATGCTTGGCTCGAAACACAAGCTATCAGCAGGATGATAATCCTGATTCATTTCCAAGGGCTGAGCCCACTGGCCAGCTGACCGCAGGAGCCCCAGTGACAGCCCTGGTCCCTCACCTTGGCACTGGTGATGGTGCCATAGGGAGAGAACTCTTTCCTCAGCCTCTCGTCATCTATCCCATCATCCAGGTTCTTCACGTACAGGTTGACCCCCTGCAAGTGGGCAGAAAAGCAACTTAGCCTCCTCCCAAAGGCACAGCGGGCTCCTAAAGTTTACTGTGGTTTTTCGAGCTGGATGCCCGTTTCACCAGCAGCTCAGAGGGTGGGACAGCCCCTAAACGTGTCCTCTCCTGAGCTGCTGCAGGACTGGTGACGTGGAGAGAAGCGAGGACCACGTGTGTGCTCACTTGTAGGCGAGATGCCCCAAGTGAAGAAGACACCCACAACATCGCTTTGAAGCTGCTCCAAGACCTCAGGAAGCCGCCTCATTTCCAGACTAATATTTTAATTTCTGGAAAAGAGCAGATCCATTTGTTCACCTGCCAACATCATCCTGGGTTTAGATCTCTCTCCTCTTTCCTGACACCGCTTCCCAGGACATTACCAGGCAGCGACTGGACCCCTCTGTGAGTCTTTTTTAACTGCAGAAGGGACCCAGCACACTGACTTGCTCCGGAGAGCCCTGTGCTGCCCCCAAGCCAAGAATGTCCGGGACACGTGCCTGGTGCAGACCTGCAGGATGGAGCACCCTGCTCTCCCCTTACCTGGTACCTGCTCACTCGCTCCTGCTTGATCTGCTCAAATTTCCTCTTCAGCTCGCTCTGGCGCTCCATCCGCTTCTGGGCTCGGCCCACGTACACCATCCGCCCATTGATCTCCTTCCCGTTCATGTCAGCCACCGCCTATCAGCGGAGGAAAGGGGTCTGAGCACAGCAGGTAGCCAAGGGCCACCCACCACCCCAGTCCAGCCCCACCATGAGCACAGACCCCCCTGGGGAGGGTAGGAGAGCAGCTCTGCTCCCCTTTGCCAGGTCCTGCCCATCCAGGCATCCCTGCCAGGGCCAGCACCCAGGCAAGCACAAAGCCAGTGAGGTTCCCCGCTGAGGAGAGGTGGGAACATCAGCAGGTGACAAGCTGGGGGCTGAGACAGCAGACGTGCAGCGAGGAGCCTCTTGCCTTTTGGGCTTCTTCATGCTTCTCAAAGTTGACAAATCCAAAACCCTTTGAGCGGCCAGTGTTGTCCATCATGACTTTGACACTTAGCGTCTTTCCTGCAAGAGGGAAGGAAAGTATCCATCTGAAGAAGGGTGCCCACCGAGGGGGTGCTCAGGAGCCACCATGAGACAATAGCCCAGCAAGGAGACCAGACAACCATGGCAGCACAGAAGAACCAGACAGAAGGACAGACGGCGGGATCCCTGCTGCGAGGCAGGAACAGGAGGCTGCGCATGTCAGTGAGGGCGATCCCTCCTACCTGGGATGCTGCTGGCATTGCTCTTGGTTTTTTTTGTTTCTCCAGCCAGAGCACTGAGCTCCTTTGGCTAGAAGTTCTTATCTCCTTTATATATGAACTCATGTATTGGGTTCATATGAAGGGTATTCACAAGTGACCTGAGCTAACACCGGCCAAGCAGACAGAATGGTCCATGAGTTGGCACAACACTAAACCCTGTTGCAAGAGGCATCCTCCAGTAATGGACTACACTGAAAAGCCTTTTTTTGCTTTAAATTCAGACTCAGCGTCTCTTATTCCCAGGGCTCCTATAACCAGACAGCATGCTGGTTTCAAGACAGTTTCAAAAACGAACAAAAACCACCCCCACACTTTTGTTACCTAGCAAAGTAAAAAACCCTTTTTTTCTGGGAGAGGACCTAATAAAGTTATCCTCCATCATTGCAGGAAAGTGCATGACATGTCCCAATGGTTTAAGCCACTGTGGTCCTTTGGTGACATGGTGTTTAAGCAAGTCTTATCCCATCGAGAGAAGGGGCTCGGTATTTCAGTCAAGCACTTTCCCCAGCTTTCTTTGCAGCTGTCCCAACTCCGGCTTATCAGGCATGACGATATTTTGTTTCAACAACTGTACTCACCAAACTTGGAGAATATTTCCCGTAGTCTGTTGTCATCCATGTCATCCCCAAAGTTTTTGATGTAGACATTGGTAAACTCCATCGCCCTGGCCCCAAACTCTGCCTCACGCTCTTTGCGGGATTTGAAATGGCCAACAAATCTGCAGGAAGCAAGGAAAGGGACATGAAACCCTCCATGTCCTCTGCAGAGGGAAGACGGACACAGGCACATCTGTCTCGGTACAGGCCAAGAGAGACCCCGTCACCTCGGGCTATGCTTTGCTCACCCATAAACCCACCCTGTGTTTCACACCCAGCAACATCCGTGTGTCCCACCCAAGTGTTCCCCTACCCAGACCCCACTTGACACCACTGAAATGGGAAGAGTGGTAACAGGGCACAGCCCCACACTGGGGGTGTCACCCCAGGAGACCCCAAAGGATGCCATCAAGTGCCAGCTCTCTTCCTCCAAGGTATCCCCAGGCCCTTCAGGCAGCCGCTTGCCTCTGCGGAGACAGGGATGTAGAGAGTAAGGTGATGCAATGTAAGCAGAGAGCTGAAGAACAACAAAACCTCTTCCTGCCCAGATTATCTGATGCTGACAGCTGAGATCGAGGACCAGCCCTGCTTTGTGGGCACGTGTTACACCACCTCAGCAATAAAACACAGCCCAGGGCTGGACTTCTTCCCCACCATCAGGAACACCTCCAAACCACTACCACACTCCCACCAGCATCGACCACGAGTGACTCATTGCCCCGGAGAGCAGCGGAGCCACCGTGCCCAGCGGGGACAGGATGGGAAGAGGTGACAGCCTGACCAGGGCAGGCGTTTGCTCCCAAGCGTTGCACCAAGGCAAGGGAGGACCAAGCACAGAGCCAAGGGGACACTCTCCTCTCCGGCACTTACACCTTCCGGTCATTGAGCAACATCCCATTCATGGTCTCAATGGCCCGAGTCGCTGCCTCGTGAGTCTCAAAGTGAACAAAGCCATAGCCACGGGATCCGTTTTCATCACAAACCACCTACAAGTGCAGAGCCGGGGGCGGGCGGGGAGGGGAGAAAAAAAGTCAGATCCTGGTTGTCTCCATGCTCGCACATGAGTGAGTAGCAGGAAAACCCACCCTCATTTTCCAGGGGCATTTACCCTCCCTGACATCCCACTCCCACAACAGCTGAGCTGCGGTGGGGTGCTGGCGGCAGGGCAGGGAGCCAGGCGCCCCAGTGCTGCCCAGGGCCAGACGTCCTGCTGGGGCCACGGTGGTTGTCCTCCAGCACCCGGTGCTTTATACGATGCCCAATAGCTCACGGCTCACCGAGACCCGAGCGCCATCGACACACTGAGCTCAGACAGGACAACACATGGCGTCTGTGCAGGGACAAAGCGGGGGCAGGAGAAAAAGCCCCCATTCCCAGGGGAAACACAGCAGGGCCTTTTGGCTTCAAAGCAAGTGGGAATTTAGAGGAAACTTCGCAGAAAGCAAAATAAGAAAGTGAATTTCAGCTGGCTGGAGCACGCTGCATAGAACACGGGGCAGCTCTGCAGTTATTTCCTTTCCTGCAGGGCCCATGGGTGCGTGTACCTTGCACGACAGGATGTTTCCAAAGGCGGAGAATGTGTCGTACAGGGCTTTGTTATCAATGGAATCATCCAAGTTCTTGATAAAGACATTTCCAACCCCCGACTTCCTGAGCCCGGGGTCCCGCTGGGACCACATGATGCGGATGGGACGGCCTTTGATCACTTCAAAGTTCATTGTGTCCAGGGCTCGCTCAGCTGGCAAAGAAGTGAACACAGGGGGAGAGAGGAGGGTAACTGAGACAGGTCACCTTCACATCCTCCAGCAGCTGAGACGGACCCGGGAATCAGGGATACTGCTGGACAGGGGCTCGTTAACCTAAGTGACACAGGCAGCCCTGCCTCCCAGGGCAGCAGGGCCAGCTCTCCTCCCCCCCAGCCACAACACTCCTTCCTTTTTATTCTTTTTCCTCTCCAAAGCATCTCTCTCCCACGGGATCACTCATTTCCCTGCAAGCTCCAGTTTGGCAGATGCCCAACTCATTTACCCAGTGAGGATTTTGGTCTCCGGGGCAACTAACCCCACGCCTTCCCATCACCGCTGCCTGGCTCCCACATGAAACGCCTGCCAGGAGAGAGGCCTCGCTTCTCCACACCACAAGCCAGTGGGCAGGTGGCTGCCCCAGGAAAGGGCAAAAGGCATTTTGGTGCCCTTCTCCATCAGCTGATGGAGGAAGGCGACTCTTGCAAGTCACCTTCCTCCTCCCATACAAGCCCAAAGTCCAGCTGTCACATCCTCTCCACCTCTAAGCAGAGGTGGGAGTGGGATGGGTCACCTCCTCAGCCACAGAAGGAGAACAGATTGGGATTAGTTACAACCAAAACCCAACATTAGCAGAATATTGCCAAGCCATAACAGCTGAGACAACCCCTCAAACAACTGCTCCTCCCTTTTCCACTCCCTGCCCTTCCTTCTCTTGCACACCCCAAGCCCCGGTTGCAAAGCAGCTCCTCGGGGCCGCCTTACAGGGAGCTTACCATCTGCGGGCTGCTGGAAGTTTATGTAGGCATAGCCCAGCGATCGGCGCGTGGCAACGTCCCGACAGACTCGGATGGACATGATGGGCCCAGCAGGTGAGAACTTCTCATAGAGCATGGCTTCGGTCACGTCTGGGTGGAGGTCCCCCACGTAGAGAGAGGCTAATGGATAGCCAGGGCCGCTGGCGTTCATGGTCAACCACAAAGCTCAGCTGCAGGGGAAGACAGACCCGAGGGTGCAGAGTGTGGGTTTCAGATCACGTGCAGCAACCACGGACCCACACTGGGGCTGGCCTCACTGCAGCAGCACGAGCTGTGCCCTTCCCACCAGCAACGGTAGGACTGGAAATGCCCCAAGGATGCTGCAGCTCCCAAGTTTTTCAGGGATGTTTCAGTGTTGGTGCAAAAGCTGAGCTGGGGAAATCTGCACATCAGAGCCCCCACAAACCTGGGGAGCAGCCAGAGGAACACACCACACACACCGATTTGTTCGTTTCAACACTCAAAACCCAAGAGAAATAAAATGGAGCTTCATTCCTCAGAAGGTAAAGAGCCCTTTTCCACCAGAGACTTCCATTTTAACTCCTCCTTAACAACTCCCTCCAGCCATCTGCTCAGCCAGAGCAAACCCGAGGAGTCTGATGCACAGAGCAGCCCTGCCAGGGGAGCGGCTTCCCGCAAGCAGCCCTGCGGCCCACACCGCTACAGCCAGCGCTCCCAGCAACCATCTCCACCTCTAACAAGGCAAGCACAGGTTTTTAGCCAGCCCTTCCCAGAAAAACAAGCCTCAGCCTGCTGATGAGGCCCCCAAAGCAGGAAAAGCGACACTCAGTGTCCCACTCTTTTCAGCTGGGTATAGAGTTGCATGTGTAGATGTCAGTCACTGCTTGGGACCCCCGAGGCACTGCCCAGGAAAACAGAAGTGCAGCTCCTGCCCTGGAAAGTTAAGCCCATTTTTGGGGCTCTGACCTTAAAGCCCCAAAGACCTCAGATACTTAAGATACTCTACGGATGCCCAAAATAAACACACACACACACAGGAGAGGTACATCAAGCAATTCCTGAGTCACAAGCAAGTCACTACCGAGGGTGGAGCATGGGAGAGCTGTGCACCAGCTCCCTGAGACGGCGCTACCCCCCATGCAGCCAAGATGCACCTTCCAAGGACCTCACGGCAATGCTGACAGCAAGACAGATACAGGCGGAGCGAGCAAACGCAGCATCCCTCTGCAGCTGCCGGGGCGGAGAGCGAGGGAAGGGAGCTGAGGGAGAGGACCAAGGCAGAGCAGCGAGGACCGAGCAGGGATCTGGCCGAGGCGGGA